AAAAAATAAATGCTATACAATATGCTATCTGTTCCGTAATTTTTTCTGCTCTTAACACTTCTTGTAATTTCGTAATAGCGTCTTTGCTATACCTACATGCTGTTAATGCATAGGTGGCTTCAAAACGAAAAATTTCTTCATTGTCATATAATCTATTGATCAATACATCATACTCATTGCATAATGCCAGATTATAAGCCGCATTAAGACGAAAATTTCCATCTCGATCATTTAATAGTGATTTCCACCGAGTAATATCATTAGACGTGACGAGTGCTTCTGGTGCTGCTACTACACGACCAAGCATCCAATTCCATATATGTTTGACAACTGGCTGCAATAAGCCAGCATCTGTTGCATCGTAACTCGTATTTGCTGGATCATGATTCCACGTTGGTTTAGTAGGTTCTTCCATTCTATTAAACTGAAACTTGAACATAAAACGATATGAACTGCTTGATGTATTTGCTGTTCCTCTATGTACAATATCATAATGAATTAATACTACAGTACCAGCCCTACAAACGACATAAATATCGTTTTTATCGTCGTTCTTTGCATCGGTATTTTCAAGTGCTTTATTGTGTTGATATATTTGTGGATCCATAACATCGTATTGCGTTCGAGGTTTAATACCTGTGGGACCCATTTCAATGGTTGTGTCTTGGGGATAATACATAATCATTACATACCGTAACTGATGATGACGAAGTAGTTTTCGATAACCAAAGAAACTATCTTTATGCCATGACTGGCCGTCTGATCCTGGACTCGTTAAATGAGGATGTCGATGAGGTTGCATAGCATAATTTGAGCCTAATAAACTCTCTAATGCACCTGTAATTACTGGGTCATCGAATAAACGTTGAAGTAGAGGAACCCGTGGAAGAATATTATTTCCTGGATTGCCTTCTTTCTGAACTATAGATAGAGTTTGTGTAAATATTGTTGAATGAAAATTTTCATCGAGAGATTTAGGTTGAAGAAACAAATAACCATTGATTAAAAACTCTTGTACTTGTCGATCTGTCAATAGGGCGGGGGTGTCCATGTTTGATTTTTATTACGAATACTAAAAGAGATTCATTATGCAATGCGTAATTTTAGTTTAAAAACTTTCTGCATGTGTAGATAAAAAAAAGACATCGAAAAAAAAACATATCAGTACAGTTACCTTTGCTGTTGTCTGCTATACAACGTCACTTTTGTTGTGTAATGCAGAGATAAACCACATGACTTACACAAACAAACATTGGTTTTTTTGTGGCGCATACATAGGCGCCTACTAATACTTTGCTGTAATATAAGATGAGTCATTCGTGCAGACGAAAAAGAATAAAGAAAAATAAACTATCACCATCTGTTACCTACGATGCGCACATAACACTCTATCTTTTCTTTCACATTGGTTATTCAAATTATATCCATTAAATATTCTTGTTTATCTCTTTTTTTGTTTTGCTATTACCGTCAATTCTGCTAATCCGATAGCAATAAATATGTTTTGAATTTAAACTAGGAAGACAAAAAAAGATCAATTGATTTTTGAAAATATTTCAAAGGTAACATGATTTTCAATTGTTCTTTTGTATGTAGAACTTATCTGTATTGTAGCAAATATTTATTTACAATTCTATTTCGAGTTGGGTACAAGTGTAGAATAGGGACACTATCGATATATATAACACAATGACAGAACAGGAAAAAAATATTATTGGAACAGAAATATTAACCAATATATTGGTTAATATTTCTGTTCCAATAATATTTTTTTCCTGTTCTGTCATTGTGTTATATATATGGATAGTGTCCCTATTCTACACTTGTACCTCGAGTTGTCGATTATCAATAGAACAAGTCATTACAGTAATATATTTGTGGAAAGAAAATCTGTTTGTAATTTCAAGTGATATTTATAGATAACTGCGATCTATGTCGAATCTTAATCAAGAGAAAAATTTTCGAGAACGTGTCGAATCATTGGATAATCGAGAACTCATTCCTCCATACAATCTTAGAAAAAGAAAGTTTATTTCGACTACTGAATACGAAACGCAATAATCATCTGATAAGACAATATCTGTGCCATTGACCATTGACAAAAATACCCCACTTTCGATTGAAGGTATATTCATTGCTTACTTTGATAGGCTATGAATGTTGAAATCTCTAATTAATTGTGTTTGATTGATATCATCAAATGTTTAGCTTGATAATTTGTTCTTTATTCCATGATTTATCTGCTAATTTAGATGTAAGCCAAGTTCTCAATCAACTCATCGAATATTGCGATGACAGAACACCAAAGAAAAAAGAAGAAATTAAAAAATTAATCAATGTTATATTAAATAAATTCCCTATGCTAAAAGATGTTAAAGAAACAGATCTGTTCCTCTTCCGAACAGAAACACAACATTGTTTAAACATGATAATCGATCGATTAAAGCGTCATTTACATAGAGGAATTTTGCCACCAAATTATTCTGCACTTACATGTCTCAATTGTCAAATAATTTTAAATGATGCACCCAACTGTTTGTTTCAAAGAATTCAAGACATGATCAAGTGAGAACTTTAGACATTTTTCTGTTGCAGTCGTTCACTATTACAAGTACATTAAGAGAGCGTCCATGAGTACATCGAGTATGTCTACAGCATATGAAGCACTCGATAAAAAATAAGTTTTCGATTTTTTATGAGCATTCGAAAGCACATCATCTAAAACCACTAAACCCAAATTTTAGCTCATTTGGATGTTCTATACAAAAGTTAGCCTATACCGACTTTTTAGCGGTACCAGCCGACTGCCAAAAAAATAATCAAAATTTTCTCAGAGATATTTACTGAGATTATCCTTTAACAACTCAGAGAATTTTTTCATGCCATATATCAAAAGATAGAGCATGAAAAACTGAAAAAAATGAGCTATTTAAAAAATTGTATATCATCTATTCATTGGGCTAACATGAGTGGAGAAGGTCTCAAGGTACCATTTTACAACGTCCAATTTTTTGGAGTATATCTGCTCCCATTTTGCGAAATCAAAAAGCCCCAAGCTGAATTTTTTATATGTTATGTAACTTTTTATTATCTACAAAATGGTAAAAAAATAACGAAAAAAAAAACCGTTTCCCATCAATGCGAAAAACGGCTTATATCGTTGGTAGCTAGGTAAACAGCCTTATAGAAAATGATGCCGGACACTTTCCAGTCTCTTTCATTCATGAAAATTTTCGTCTTCGGAAAATTAGGACTTCATCCTAGATAGAATAGCAAAGACAGTTCTCGGGAAAAACGAAAAAAAAAAATTTCGACACCCTGAATCCCTGAAGAGAAGTACGGGAATTTAAAAAAAATCTTTTTTTTTGTGAAAACCAATAATCATCATTCAAATAGATAGAGCTTGGAATGCTGATCATGGCCATTTTTAGCTGCAAATGGGATTTAGTAGCTGATTATAAAGAAGCAATGCGACACTGGGCTGCTCTAGTAATCATCATTCTGCACGAAATTTCACATATCATCCGCCGTGTAGAACTTCCCATCATCAATAATGTAATGAGTTCTACAACATCAGCAAAACTATTAAATGGGAAATTGATAAAAGACGCTGGAAATCAGTTGGAAATTTTATTATTCGGAAATGTTGTCAAGTCTATTGGTGGTCTGGATTCAATATTTCTATTGAAGTCAACAACTTGGAATATACCAACAATTGAAGAATTTCACAAGTAGTTCACAGACCACATCGAAGAAGATATTCGACAACAACCAAACAACGATGAATTATATCGATTAACAATACCGGGCAAATGTGGTGATCTTGATCATTCGAACGACAACAATCAACAATACAATGATCGAATAAATATTGAAAATTGTGCTACCAGTATCTGTCAACCACGTTCAAACTTATCATTTGAAGGTAATCAGAAATTCTTCGTTTCGTCATCATTGAGAAATCTTGTTGTCTTTTTTTGTAGATTTGAGCTATTTGGATTGTCGTGCTTTATCTGAATGATCATCAATCACTTTCCGATAATCAATTTAGAGATGCTGTTCAGATATTTCATTGACTATTCATTGTTAATCATCTATTTGTTTCGAATAGAATTATGAAAATATACTTGTGAATAGATCAATTATGAAACAAAAATTATTCTGCTTTTATTTCAATTGTGATCAAATGTTCTTCGATGAAAGTTCTATTCTGATATTTGATCTTTTGCTTGTATTTTTTTTTCTATGTTTACTTACATCTATTTCATGCGAAGGGCAAAATGTGTGTTAAATTCGTCTCCTGTTATTTCGTAATAAACATATTAGTCATTTTTTGTTCTATTTATCTTTACTGTGGTAGTTTTTTTGTTTCGAATTTTCTGATTCTGACGCATAAATTGTTGTTTGTTTGTTTGACATAAAAGCAAAATCGAAGCAGACCCATCATTGTCTATTAGTTGAATAACAGCAATAGACAACGAAAGACTATCAGTTCTATGACTATTAAACAATAAAAGAGAGGCTGGAGAATATCTAGCTATCGTACATTTTGAATACAATTTCAAACCAAAAGTCCACTTACATTAGTCAAACAAAATATTGTTAATGGGAATAAATAGAATAGAAAAGTGCTACCAATACAAAGAGAAAAAAACTGATTTTTTTTTAAAATTTTCCATCAATTTTTAATAAGAACAAGTCTGACTTCAGTGTCTTCATTGTACTAACATCATTTATCGATCAAATTATCTAGTTGAATACTCTGGAAAATCTTCAAAAGTATTTTTATTTCTATCAGATCAATTTAATGGAAAACTTCACTTACAATGATCAGGTTTCTTTTTGTCTTTGTTCGTCTCGAGATCTAAAGGGATGAGTAGAGATACGACCGGAAAAGATCATTTGAGATCAAAACATTTGTTCATGATTGAAATCATCAATTTGAAATCCATGACAATTCAATATGAAATCACAATGACATTTGTTTTTGTCTTGAATGAATGTAATGATTTTCGTTGAAAAGATTTCAATGAAAGTGATAAAATAAATTGATATATCTTCATTATCAAGAAGATTTCTTCCAAAAAACATTCAGTGAATCTTCTCCAGTCGAATTTGATTGAAAGAAAACAACTTTTTCTTTTTTTCCTGCTTCTCCCTTGATTCGATTGATTGATTTTGTGATTTTTTTTTATTGAGAAAAGAGAATTAGTTATCTGAGAGATTTTGTAAAGAAATGAAATCTTTTATTGACCAAATACGAATACAAAGTTTCAAATAAATCAATGATGATTCGTCTCGTTGTTATTCTTCTTGTTGATTAATCGATCGATCGATGATGATGAGTGATTTTCTTTTGATTTGTGAATTTAGTTGAAAACACAGTAGATTTTTGGAGAAATGTCATAATATCCGTAACTCGGATATCGAGATTTGAATACCGCTATTCCAATATTCATCGTAATGCAATAATGTATATCAACAGAGGTAACACCGAGGATTTTCCGTGCTTTTGATGGGATGGGATGGAGACTCAAGGCATTATCGGTATCTTCAGAAGTTGAGATTTTTGAGTGCTTTTAGTGTAACGAGACAGATATCCAAAATTTTAACTGGGTATCCTCGAAAGGTCAGATTTTTCATTGCTTTTGGTGTAACGAAGTGAATACTTAATCATTATCATTATCCTCAGAAATTGAGGATTCTGAATGAATTTGTTGTAACAAGATGAGTATTGATATTCTTACCTATGTTTTGAAATGATTAGAGTTTGATTGATTTTCGTAGGAAGATAGATATCTAATGAGATAGTTATATGTCATCGTCACCAGGATATGGAAGCTGCTGTATGCTATGTAGTAGTCACGATGTCAGTGTAAAAGGGTACGGGTGCATGTGTTGACGTTGTTTAAGGCGAAAATTATTCAATCGGATTTCTAATCGGATGAAAATGAAACAAATTTGGAATTTAAAACCGATCTTTTCTGATGATCATTTTTTTCTTGTCAATCTTAATCGATTTGAATTTGATCTACCATCAAATTCGATTCAGATCAATTTTGAATTTTAATCCCATCGAAGTCAGATTGAATTATCAGAACTTTTCTCGTTGAAGTCGATTCTTCACCTAATTAAAATCAAACTTAATGGGAATGACAGTGTCATATTCACTAACAATCCCTTGGTCTATCTCGTTTTCTCTTGTTGATCAAATTTCTGAGCTGTTTAGAATCAAGACGATTGTCGATCATCATTCGATTCATACAAGAATGTCATTTCAATAAAATAACTAAAATTCAAACATAAATCTTTAAACTGATCAAATAAACAAGAACTTTATTTGAAAGCAGGAAAAGATTATCCAACAACAAGTATTTTATGTACTAATAAAATAAATCAATGGATTTATCAAGGAACTGATGCTACACTATTAAATCAATTGATAATATTACCAATTCAATTATGAGGTTTAATTATTCAAACAAATACTAATTTATCTTCAGTATTTAAACATATCTCTGTCATATTTGTAAATAAATCTTCTCAAAATGATCCATCATCTGATCGAATTTGTGCTTGTTCTATGTCTATTGCTTGATGGACAAGTCTTGCTCTATCTTCTTCTGTGATAACAGTTGATGGACATCCATTAGGTCAAGTTAAAAAATTAAGACATAAGCAAGAATATACAAATTCAGTAGTTAAATGTTCTTTATTTGCACTTTATCTTTCATTAATGGATCATTTACATAGGGCAGTCAAAAAGTTCTGTCACTCCCAACAAATTATTCAATAGAAAGACATTCCATTTCTCTCTCTAGAGCAAATCTTAGAAGTTCATAATCAATGGTTATGACAACAACTTCTAATTTTATCTATTAGTTAAATACAAAATAATATCTTTGTTACATCTTTATTTTTTTTTTATTGGCAATCAGACTTTTTTTTCCTACATGTTATCTATACAATATAGAAAAAGAAAACACATAGCAAAATCTCATTTCACAGATTAATGAAAGAAAATAATTATTTAATGTATATACATTCAATAAATGAACAGAAAATTTTTTTTCCAGAAAGTAAAAAAAAAAAAGAAAAGAAACAGAGCAAAAGAAGCTAAAACAAGAGACACAGAAAAAAACGATATTATTAATAATAATAAATAAATAAACTCGTTCGAAATTAACGTATTAATAAACGTCGTAAATTATTTCGTGTTTTATTTGAAAAAATAGGTGAAATAGAAGCTCGTTTATGCCATGGAGATTTTATTGGACCTGTTGTTGTTTTACATGGACTTAATGGATGATAAGGTCCCGAACAATATTGACAAAAATTATTTCGACATAATGGATTTGTACAAATACTAAATGCAAAAACAAAAATTAAATTCGATTGATTAATATGAAAATTATTTCAAATCAAAATATAGTTAAATCTTTTTATAATTTATTTTCATTCAACAGATAACAGACTAAATAAATAATTGAATTAAGTTTTTAATTTTCAATATTTATTCTACTATACAATAATTCAATGAAATGAATTTAACGGATATTTTTTCATATAAAAATGAGATGAATTATACTAAATTTTACAAAACTCTCAAGGTTCTAGATTTACATGGAGAATAAGAACTTTCAAAGTAATCGTAATTTCAAGTATCTTACTATATAATATTGAGAAAAGAAAATCCTATGACTTATTGATCTACAATTTTACCTACTGACATATAACAAAGCTATTCGACTGTCGGAAATAGTTTAGTTCAAGCGAAGTCTACCAATTGATATAATTGCTTTTGAGTTGAGACTATGTGCATCATGTAGATATTTCAAATTTATCTGTAGTTTTTAAATGACTATCATAATCTTCTTTAGGAAGATGCGTCTCTATGTACAGTTTCAAATCGCAATAATAAGTTAAGAGCATGGACTTTTTTTTTAGGATATCCATTAATTCATTTGGCTCTATATAATGAATGTAGCCTTGGCTCAAAAATGATTTATCATCTAGGAAATTTCTTTTGTTAGATCTAGTGACAAGCATAATAAGCATTCGATCGGTCAGTTACACTTGAAAATGTTTCTATCATTTGATAGAATGATAGATTAAGTACTTTTCTTTTTTTTAAAAGACATACCCATGCTGATCATTCACATCAACAATAGAAACAAAACCACAAAGTGGACAACGTTTAGGAATAGTTGGTCCATGTAAATATTTTAAATATCCATAACGAAATGTCATTGTACTTGCAGTAAGATGAATATTATCTTCAATTATTGAATTTGATTGATTTTGTAATGGAATACTATTATTTTCTGTATTTATTATTTCAATATTAAATGGTATTGTTGATTTTGAATGAATTGTATTTGTTATTATTTGCATTGGTGTACTTGTTAATTTATTATTTATTATTAATGATTGTTCATTACTATTATTCTTATTATTAGTATCATTAAATAAATTTCGTTTAACATTATTTGTTCGTTTACGTTTATAATAATCATTTAAAATAAAATTCCATTGTTTACATACATATAAACAATAATATAAATCATTATTTGATAAATTTTTAAATATTTTATCAATTAAATAATATGTATTTCGATGATATAATTGTGTTAATATATCAAAATATTTTCTTGTTGTTATATAATTTTCATAATCAATTGTTGAATAAAATTTTTCTATTATAGGATTTATTGGAGATTGTATAGGAGAATCATATTGATTATAAATAACAATTGATGGTGATAAACGAGATGGAGATGTTATATATGAAGATGAAAATGTTAAATAACCTGAATCAATTCGACTACTAACAGGTATCAATGGATGAAGAAGATCATTTGAACTTTCATTATTTTCATCATTTATATAACTTGACATATTTTTCTTTTTTTTTTTTGTTTTATTATCAAGTCAAAACAAAGTCTACAATGAAAAGAAAAATTTCATTTTTCTACTAATATTTAATAATTTTTTCATATCTATAATGTATTATGAACTAAGTTGATTCTGAACTTAAGTCTATTTATAGATTAGTATTATCATTAAGATGTCAGTGAATTAGAAATAGTAACAACATGAGAAATGTTCTCCGATCATCGTTTAAGAGTTCTTAGTTATCTTACTGAAATTTTCAGATGCCTTCGTAATATGTGAGTGATTCGCAAAAAACTCAATATATTAACAACATAAAACTTTAAGAACATACCTTAAGAAGATCTGATGATATTTATTCTATTCAAATGTCTCATATATCTTCGTACTACATATTAAATTTCAATAGGAAGATTTCTAGTAAATCTAAATAAAAGAATTTACATTATTTACTTTGCAAAAAATCTTTCTCTAATGTATAGAAACGGATATTTTTTTATTGATGAAACTAAATAATGTGAACTTTTAGTTCGAAAAGATACTATGTTAATCTTAATTTCTCTTCTTATGAATATATATAAGGTCATTTTAACAAAGATGTTTACTATTATTTTTACTTCGCTCTTTGTCTTTTTATAACAATGAACCACCATCTGTTCATTAAATTTAATAAAGCATATGAAAATATTTTTTTATACAAAAAAATAAAAAATAATTTATTATTTTTCATTATATATTCAAAAATATTTTTCTCTTTATATTTCATTATAGAGGATTGAAAGAAAATTCTGATTAGTTATTCTTTGTCTATTACCTCGATTTGTCATTTTCATCATTTCATTCTTTTAGAAAAAAAATGTCGACCACAAATAATTCAATAAATCTTATTGAAAAAGATATTGATAAAACTATTGAATCTATTCAAGAATGTTATAATACAATTGAAACAAATATCAATAATATTATTGAACAAATTTAAATTATTCAAATGATGATAAATTTCTATTGAAAATTTAATAAAACAATATAGTGATAAACATAAAAATTTACATAGTTCAATATCTAAAATAGATAAATATTTTCAATCAGATTTTAGTCATATTCTTATAACAGATTTATTTTTAATACAAAATTAAAATTAATTTATATGATTATATGTGAAGATTTATATCGTCAAAGATATATATATATAAATAGTAGAAAAATTAAATGATAATAAATTATTTAATACTGAAAAATCTTTTACCAGCTATTAATTGATGTATATAAAATATCATAATGAATTAAATAAAACAGATAGTTTATTAGAAATTTTATTTATATAAAATGTGTTTTATTCAATTATTACAAATGGAAAATTTTTATGATGCAAAAAATTATTTAATACATTTAAAAAAGTATTTTTTTTTTACTTAATGAACAAGATATTAATCATTTAATGGATGCATTTGTTTTTGCTCGTAGAAATTTATTACAATCACCATATAAAGATTTACTTGAACCACATCTTATCAGAATGATTTATGCAACAAACATTTTATCTTTTACAGAATAGTCCATTTTATGTTGTTATGAAAATTCGTTTTCAAGCTTTACTTGCTCTTATGAGGTAAACAAAGAAAAAAGATTTTATTGATTTGTATTAAAAGTTGTAAAATCATTCATATTTTCTGAGATTAGTCTTTTGAGTTGATCTTATCAGGATATTCTAGTAAGAAATAATTATACGACTTATCGATATATATGATAATAGAGAGTGAAAGTCTCTGAGATGTATCATATGTATAGAATTTCAATTTAAAAGAAAATGATCAGTTGAAAACATTTCCTTATAAGCTATCTTGTGTTGAATAAAGTCTATTTTCGCTCGTTTACTATGTAAGCTCTTACAAGGGAACGTTTCCAACTGTCACATCGATTTTGAGTCAAGCGTATGAGCTTCATGTAAGCTCTAATGATCTATGAATCCTCTGAAAAAAGTTCGTGCCACTGGCTTCTTACTGCTGAGATATTGCATTATTACTGTATGTTTAAGCAAAAAGCCGCGGTACCCATCAGGAAAAGTGAGTTTTTGTTCCTAGTCTGAAATAAGAAGATTGGATCTGCTTGTGTATATCAGCAATTGTACGATAGCTGTATCTTAGAATAGGAATAACAAAAAGAACTGAAACTTTCACAATAAACTATTCTCATCGAGGCCTATACCTATGCAAAGTTTCTAGTCGAAATCCAGTTTTTTCAGTGTTCCTGAGGGGGACCACGACTCTTTTTTTTAAACATACAGTAAAAATGTAGTATAAGTTAGTGGCATGAAATTTTTTCAGAGAATTCATAGATCGTTAGGGTCTACATCAGAGGTGCAGAATCTTCCAAAAATCCAAAAATTTCCCCCCACGCAAAAAATTTTTTTGAAAAATTTCCCCACTGTATTTTTCTTTGGTCAGCGGGTTTTTCCAAAATTTCCCTATTATTTGAGTTTTTTAAAAAATTTCCCTCCCCGCGCGGGGGCGCATGAGGAAGATTCTGCACCTCTGGTCTACATAATACGCATACGTTCGACTTAAAAGCAATGTGACACTTGAGAATGCTCCCTGGTTAGTCTTAAAGATTAATAAAGAAACTAATGATAGTAATGGTCAAGGTAAACTTCACTACGAGGAAGAGAAATGAAAAAAAAAACAATCTCATATAATTTATATTTAAAACTTATGTTTGTATTTTCGTCTTATGATAATTTAAAGACAATACAGAGTGTTATTGTAGAAATTATTCTATCTTTTTTTTTCTCTATAATTATCATCGAAGTATTAGCGAAAATAAATAGTTTGGCTATCGAACTGAAATAACATGAAAGAGAATTGTTAGTTGATGTCTATGGTTTATATATAAATATATTCTTATTGGTTCTAACTAACTTTTCTTTCGTTCAGTTATTTATTTTGAATATGTACTGAATTTCTTATTCTACTGATGTTCGATATATTCTTATTCTTTCTTTCGATGCTGGTATATGTACATATCGATCCCTCGATTAAAGAATAAAAAGTGTAAATGACTTGGCCTTTATGCTTCATTATATTCAAGAATCTAAGATTCGAAATATAATATTTCTTATTTATAGTATAGTAAATGCCATGGAAAATACACAAGTATGTCATATATTATCAAAAGATGAATTACCAATAGAAATTGATGTTGGTCAAGAACATCGATATCATAGTGTATTTGCTTGTTCAATTCTTCGATAACAAACAACCGATCAAAATCCATCGATGAAACTTGTTTGTGGTCATGTTATATCAAAAGATGCACTTAATAAATTATCTATACAAAATAAACTTAAATATCCATATTGTCCTCTAGGTACAATTTTTTTTTTGTATTAAAAATTCTTTATGTATATATTATGTTTTAATTGTTTCTTTTCTAGAGCAAAGTCCATCAGATGCTCGACAACTATTTTTTTGAAGAAAGAATAAATCGTTTTTTTTTTCTTGTTTGTATCAATAATGATGATCAGTTGTTTATTGTTTTCTTTTTAAAAATATGTATAATTTTAATGATATTTTAGATAAAAAAAAGGTCATGTATAGAAAATATTTTGATCCATTGGATTATAATTTATCGGCTGATTTTCGTTTAACGAAATTATCCGATCTTAAAGGTTGAGGGTGTAAAGTTCCTCGAGATGTGCTCCACCGGCTGCTCGAGGGACTTCAAACAGCCGATAAAAACGGCTATGGTGATGGACAACATCACCAAGGACTCTTACCTGAGTCCAAACCAACACCGGTGGTCGGTATGTAAATAAAATCTTTAATACAAAAAAAATAAAAAACAAAGATATTTCTCCGAGAAAATATTCATAGGAATTGGCCTTGATTCATGTGTTATACCAATACGTCATGGAGGGCTTTTTCTGGTACAATCAACTGCTTTTTTCTATCCACTAGTCGATGATCCATATGTTATGGTAAGAAATTGAATAAAAAAAAAACAAACAAAGATTACAAATTAAAAAAACTATTTCAGGGAAAAATAGCATGTGCAAATGTATTAAGTGATGTTTATGCTATGGGAGCTGTTGAAATTGATAATATGTTAATGTTATTAAGTACAAGTAATAAAATGACGGATAAAGAACGAGATACAATAATGCCATTGATTCTTCAAGGATTTAAAGTAAAAATATTTTCTATTTGAAAAATAAAATATGTTTTTTATTTGTAATATTTTATTTAATAGGAATGTGCTGAAGAAGCAGGTACAAGTGTACAAGGTGGTCAAACTGTAATTAATCCATGGTTAATTGTTGGTGGTGTAGCAACTGCTGTATGTACACAAAATGAAATTATCATTCCGGAGAATGCTATTGTTGGTGATGTTTTAGTATTAACTAAACCATTAGGGACACAGGTTTGTTTTATATTAGATTTGTATTCAAATAAAGAAAAACATTATTAATTATAGGTTGCAGTAAATGCTCATCAATGGCTTGAAAATCCTGATCGATGGAATCGTATTAAATCTGTTATAAGTGAAGATGATGTTCGTAAAGCATATCAACGTGCAATGAATTCAATGGCAAGATTAAATAAAATTGGTATGTTTATTAAATGAAAAAAAAAAATCACTCGATTAGATTAATTAGTTTTGAATGGAAACTATTCACATTATGGATTGCACGAACAGTTTTTTATATTCATATATATGTCAGACAGTAATATAGAGACATAGTTTATACAGTAAAACTAAAAGAACAAACGTGTCTTTTTTCTAAATCATTATGCAATTAGACTTTAGTCATAGTAATGTGAACATGCATGTTTAGAACACATTGGAAAATAAATCGAAAAATATTGTTTTTCCATTTCCTTACAAGAAGCTTTACTATTATGCCATAATTTTCCCATAATTTGAAGATATATTTTAGTTCATACATGAGACATAAAAAAAACAGCCGACAGTCTGAAACATTATTGTAAAAGTCATTAGAATTCTAAACATGTTTCTTAGAGAAAACTAATCTTCTATATATATATATGACGAGTGAAATAATGAAAGATCCTTCCTATACATTCATCTGAACTTTGATTAATTTAACGAAAAATAAACTTTTTGTGTTTGAGAAATGGAAAGACTTTAAATGAATATTTAAACATAATAAAAATATGTTTGTTTTGTTGTTTTTTCTTTTAAGGTGCATCTCTTATGCATAAATATAATGCTCATGCATGTACAGATGTAACTGGTTTTGGTCTATTAGGTCATGCTCAAAATTTAGCTAAACATCAAAAACATGATGTTTCATTTGTTATACATAATTTACCAATTATTGCTAAAATGGCAACAATAAGTAAAGCTTGTGGTAATGCATTTGGTTTATTACAAGGTACAAGTGCTGAAACATCAGGTGGTTTACTTGTAGTTTTACCACGTGAACAAGCAGCTGCTTATTGTAAAGATATTCAAGCACAAGAAGGTTATCAAGCATGGATTATTGGTGTTGTAGAAAAAGGTGGTCGAACAGCAAAAATTATTGATAAACCAAGAATTATTGAAGTACCAGCAAAAGATACCGAAGGTGAATTATGGTAAATTCAAATCAAAGAAAATGTTTTGTATTTTCGTTTGTTGTTCAATTTATTGTTTTTCTTTATAAAAAAAACAAAAAAAGGATTTTTTATGAAGTATTAATAATGAAAACATCAGAATATATTCTGTTGTAATTATTAATCTGATTGTTCCTAGTATATTTGTAAAGACTAACATAAATTGATACATTTTCTTTATTTGTGTATTGTGTAATATTGTGAAAAAAAATAAAATAAAATCTTTAAAAAAAGATTCAAATTGATAATTACTCTACAAAGATGCTCAATAGTATGCATGGTTTATCTATTAAAAAAAAGTCTATCAGATATTGAATTACTTTGCCAACATAGGAAAAGTAATGACAAAGATATTTTAATTCTTTATAAAAAAAAAAAGAAAAAGCTTAAAGAAACTTTCTTTCGATATGATTTGATAATAAAAGCTTCAAGACAACTTGATTTTTTTCATTATATATGTTAGCGTCCAATATCAGATTCAATCGAATAACTGTTGTTGAAACAATACCATTTCACGTATTGCAATTATTGCTGGAGAAATTAAAATAAGAGTCGTAAAGTTATGATTAAGTTTTTACAGAAGAATAGCTTTTATGGAGAAGTATCCACAAATATTTCAGTTCGAACTTCGATTGTTTATTGATAAATGCAATTGTTTCAACAAATTTATCAATACGAGTTTGAATCCAACATCTATCTAGAGATGAACAGAGTTCATAACGAAAACTTCTTCTGCGATCCAACGTTGAACATTAACACATATATAACATGCTTGTGCGTTATAAACGTTGATAGTTTTTAAATTTTTCTCGTCATTTTGAATTATAAAAGTTATTCTCTATTATAGGTAATTGAGAATCAGATGTAAACCCTCTCATTGCTAGCCATCTATATATATATTGAGTATGGAAAAAATGGTATCATTGAACAAATATCAAATACAGAAACAAGTTTTTATTTAAGTAATCTTCTGTATTTGGTACCATGTAATTTTTCGTTATTTAACTTATATTGAACAAAATCTAAGCGATTGTAACAGTTTCAAATTGTTGTATCATGCTGTAAACAAATTCGTGAGTTCTTTGTATAAAGAACTGAATAAATGAATTTAACGAATGCAATTGCATATGAATGACTAGAGTAGGTTGAATATTTGTTGTTTGTTCTGCCGCCATTACTTTTCTGTACGCTAATATATTTATAGATGATTCGGCAAAATGCAATCTAATATTAACGAAGTTCTGATCGAGATTTTATTATTATGATATTAACTGAAGAATAATTACACAAATGCTATTACTTTCATATGCTCTGCCGAGAAAATCATCCGAGGTGATATCTTGCGTTTAAAGATGAGACTTCAGTCATTTCATATGACTTGTTGAAACTATAGTTCCCATGCTCAGCCTCTTTTACAGTTATGGTCATTACACTGAGCTTTTTACCTTTGGCATGATATTTATAAAAAAAAAACTCAAGAAACGAATTTCAGCCTAAAACTTGTTTCTTCAGTTCTTTTTATAAATATCGTGTCAAAGGTAAAATGTCTAGTTTAACAGTCATAGCTCGAAGTTTTATTTCAAACGCCAAATATTTTTTTTTAAATTAATCTCTTTAATTAAAGTTATATTTTCTTTATTTGAGAATAAAATCTCACATGAAAATGATCAGAAAAAAAAAAACGCAAAACAGTTTTTTTTTTTTAAGTAAAATTTCGATCTAATACAACAATATGTTCTGGTATATAACCTTGTTGTCCATCACCACGTTTGATTAATCGCCAATCACCAATATTTTCATTTGAATTAACAAGTGTAACAACTTCAGATTCAAGTACACTTATATCACCAACAAATTGTCTTTGATAATTTTCAATAACACGTAAACGATTATTTGGACGAAAAATCACTGATTCATTATCTAAAACACTAATTGATAAATTTTTACGTGGAGTTAAATTTAATGTTTCATAAGCATCTTTATCTGATGTATGAAGAGACATATTTGAAATTTGTTGAGATAAAACTGATTCATCTTTTATTTGTGAACGTGTAAATGTTGTTCTTTTAGTTAAACGTGAATTCTTTGAAATTTGTGTTTCATTATTTAAATAACATGGTCCAATTGATGAAATAAAAAGACCAGGTCTTGGTGTTGACATATTATATGATCGATTATTGACAATTGATAAACGTGAATAACGTGGTTTATCATAAATGCTTACATTAAATAAACTAATATTATTTTGAGAAGGTGATTCAAATGATGGCTTAGTAGGTTCATCATGTAAACGAATACAATAAATTGGTATAAAACCAGTTGCACCAGTTTCAGGTATTTCAATAAATACCCAATTCGACATTTTATAAAGTCCTTTTACATGCGTACCTAAAAAGAAAAAATTAATTTTTCACATTTTTTATACAAATGAAAGATTGTTTTCTTGTGATTTTTGATAATAGAACTGAACTTTTATACTATTAAAAGAAATAAATAGGTTGAGGATTCTATCCAGATTTTCTCTTTCAGGAAGGCGAACACCTATTTTAAAGATCACACATACATAGTAACAATAATCACAAAGTTTAGGAGAGCTAGTTCGATCAGAGAAAGTGTGCCGCCCTCACACTTAATTAAACACTGAATAGGATGACGTTAAGATCAGTCGGTGCTTTAAGGGATGATTTTTAGAAAAAAAAAAAAAAGATTCCCTATTGGTACAATTCGCCGAGTGCAATTTTCTTTTTATCCGAACTGTATTCTTAAAATTCAAAGTTATGTTAGAGACTAAAATAAACCTACAAGAATTCGTTTCTATGTATTGTCCTTTTCAAGTTTCATATATCACATGTTCCTTTTTATTTTTCTGGTTTTTACAATCAATGAATCTATATATCAATATCTATATAAGTTACACCCAACTTCCTATTTGTTTTCAATTAGAGATTGTATAGTAGACATTGAACGAATAAAATCAACAAAATCACATCTTATGTCTATCTATCTATGTCTTTCATTATCGGCTTGTGTTAGTTGTCTACCTGTACATGTCAAGATTAACAACATATATATGGACTTAAAATAAATGTCCAAAAAAAAAAAAAAAACTCTGTTAAATGAAATGAAACAAAATGTTAGAAAAGGAAAAGCAATTAAATGGTAGTTCAATTGAATCTAATCGATCACATCGTTTTTTTCTCGTTTTTTTAAATCGAAAGAATTGTTCAAGCAGAACAAAGTGGATATATATAATACCTTTCGTAACGGCAATTGTATTCTTATTAAATTGTGTCGATTTAGCATATAACGGTTTATATGATTGCGAAATAATCATAGACAGATTGGCTGGTGATGTAGGTGTAGCATTAGACAGATGTTCATAACTATTCATATTTTTTAACGGTTGTTCATGATTATCAACCGTTATACATTCCATATTTGTTTGTATTTGAGTTGATAAATTATATGAATTTTTATTTCGTCGTTTTTTTGAACGCTAAATCAATTAAAAACAAAACAAAAAAAAAGTTATCATTTTTATATAAATAATTAGTCATACAAATATATTAAATTTAGTTGATTTTTTTTCTGTTGCTAATGGTTCAGTTTTAGCTGTTACAAATTCATAACATCCATCTTTATTAATCCGTTTACATGCATTTGTAAGTTCTAAAAAGTAGAAAAAAAAAAAAGAAGAAGATCAAATAAACTTTTCTTTTTAAGATGTCAAGCATATCCTCTTGTCGTCGATAACATAATGTTTACAAAATAGATTAACTATATGTCATTTCAAGGATTTTTTATTTTTGTCTTCATTTTAAAAAGAAGGATTATAGATTATCAAAACATTAGTTTTTTTTTCTTTTTACTCACTTAAAATATTACATGAATCCCACATAGCAATAAATGAATAAGAAGTGGATAAAAGTTTTTCTCTTTTTTTATTCTAATACTCAATAGGGAATATATAATTATACCTTTAGGTATATGAAAGAAGACTGATTTTCTTTTTTTGCTATTGAAAAATTGTACCTTTAATATGCTTACGAAATTGAAGGACTCGTAGAAGTTTTGTAAATGTTCTTGATTGATCCATAATATTCAAGCAATAATATCGGTGTCAAAAATAATCATTCTAATAAGTACAATGTCTGTAAATGAAAAGAAAAAGGAAAGCAACAAATAATCATAGATCTACTTTCTTCTTTCTCTTTCAAACCAATGAATGAAAACGAAAAAGAGAACGAGAAAAACAAAATGACCTTCAATAAAGTTCACTATATGAAATAATCGAAGAAGGAAATTTGTCTTATCAAGTTACTCAAAAGTGATAATGAGATATAGGTTTTTCTTTTTCTCTTATGATCAATATCTCTCATTGTCATCATCAATACACGCATATATATATAACGGTCAAGCATAACTTTTGTTTTTGTTATTGATTGATTAATCCTATGGGAATATATGATTGTTATCAAAAAAAGTGACTGTTTTTTTTTCCTTTCACAAGATTTATTAGATTTAATTTTTTTTTTTTTTTTTTTTTATACAGTAACATCAATAATTTCTGTCAAATTAGGTATTTTTTCTCGATTTAATAATTGTTCATTTGTACTATGAGATCGATGATTTTTTATCCATATATGTTCTTGTTTTTGATTATTATCTGTTAATGAACGATGTGAAGAAGATTTTGAATATGGTATCGATTTTAAAATTGATCGATTCGTTTCATTTAAATGTGATGATTGATATTTTGACGAAATTAAAGATAATTTTTCAGCTTTAGATATTTGTTTTGGTGTTGGTTCATCAATAGATAATCTTAACGTTCGATCACCACCTGTTGATATATTTGATGGACGCTTTTGATGAGTAAACATTAATGAACTTTTTCTTATACTAATTGTTGGTGAACTTGGATACTAAGAAAATAAATCATTTATTTTAATTATTACAAAATTTTATATAAATAAATAAAGAAGAACGAATGAGAAACAAAAAAAAAAACTCTTGAAGACTATAAGTATGCGAGTGACAAGAAAGATATGTATTTATTTCAAAAATAGCTTAGAAAATTATACATTCAAGTGTGTATATCATTTCGAGAAAAGAATTTCTTCAGATATTGAATCACTACGAATTAATGTTTTTTTGAAATATAATCTAAAATGAGTATCAAAACATCGAACTGGATAAGTAGAAGATCATGAATGATTGGACAGACTCATTGAATCATCAAGGCAGTCTATCTAATACACTTTCATTAATGATAATTATTATGTTTCTTTTCCCGATGGCAATAGGACGATACTCGGTACAGCTCACTTCATTCTTTTAAAATTTATCAAGAACTATAACAATAATTTATTGTAGACCGTGACAAACTGTAAAAAAAATATAACAATTATGTATATATAAATGATAACGGAAGATGAAAAATCTTATAGATTATGAAAAAACGAATGAAAATTCATAATGCATAACTAATTACAAAAGAAAATGAAAAAAGAACTTGAATATATGAATATAGATAATAATTTAATTAATGAGAACCAATTAAGTTCAAAATATTTGTCTTTAAATCGATTTTTTTTTCAAAATTAATTGTAATATATTAAGATTATTTTTTTTCATTACAAACACTGATCAACAATATGTCATCTATAAACGACTTAATCGTATACATTAAGACTTTGTTCATTTAGATGAATAATTGTGTTATTCTCTATGTTATTAATTTTTATTTTTAGACATATAGGTTTTTTTTTTTTCTTTGTTTTTATTCTTTAGTGTCTGGATTTAGCTGTGGCTGTTGATGAAAAACAATTTCGCAAACAATTTCCATATCTTTTCTCATACGTCTATTTTGTAAATACTAATAATGACATTTCTATATGAAATAGCAGAAAAAAAAGGCTTTTACGCCTTTTTGTGAGATTGATGTGTCTCTGTTGAGAAAAGTTGTTGAAAACTGAAAGATATGTTATCTTGTAGACAAGCTTGTTTTTTTTATTTGCTCTGTCATTCAAAGTAACTCAAAGAAAATTCCAGAAGATTAAAAAAAAACTGAGTTCTCTAGTTTTTCAAAGATTCTTTCTTAGAAAAAAAACTAACAATTATTTTAGATTTTTTGCTCTTGAAAATAAAAAAGTTTTTATATGAATTACAAGAAGAAAGAAAAAAAAAATTCTCATTACTATATGATATGTAAGAAAATTAATTAATTATTTTTTTTTTTTTCATACCGAATCTGTACTTTGAGAAAAACGATTTCCATCTAATTGATTATTATGTTCAGTTAATTTTAATTTTGATGATAAATTTGATAAACGTGTTGAAAACCATGATTGTATATTATTATCAATCATTTGTGATTGTCTTTGATTAATAATATTATGATTATATTTAGCATTTATATCAATACTTAAATTTGATATACGTGTATGACATTGATTTCCATGTAAAGAATAAATTGATTGATTTGTTAATGATACTGTATCAAATGAATTACAATTTGTATGTTGTTTATTTATTCGTTTCATTTTCGATCCTGGTTGTATTGAATATGCACAATTATTACTTAAAAATGCAAAATTTGAACGAAATGTTAAACGAAATCGATCAGAAAAACAACAATATAATAGAAAATTTGTTGAAGCATTTATAGCTACGAAACAATTTGCAAAATTATTATAAATAAGAACTTTTGATGTTTGAGCTAATATTGGAAAAAATGATTGAACTGTTAAAGATACTGCTTGAGGAATTTGACAAATAGTAAAAACAATAACAACAGCGACTAAAAACAAAAAAGAATAGAGTAGTGGCGGAACCAGGATTTTCCGGTATGCTGGATCTCAGCTTTAGAGTATGGGTCCCAGTTGAAACTTATGCGGAGATGATATTGGCCTCAAATGATGAGTTTCTATCCAAAGATTTTTGCGATAAGATTTTGCTAACAAAATTAGCATTTTCCTGAACCTCCCAGAAAATTTCTAATACTGTCTGTAGTATCCTATTTCTAAGCATGCCATCGCACGCTACGTTGAATTTAATCGATAGATTTCAAATCTCATATCGAAATATATTTTGATATGAGATTTGTAATCTATCGATTAAATTTAACGTAGCGTGCGATGGCATGCTTAGAAATAGGATACTACGAACAGTATTAGAAATTGTCTGGAGAGGTTCAGGAAAATGCTAATTTTTTTAGCAAACTCTTATTGCAAAAATCTTTGGATAGAAACTCATCATTTGAGGCCAATATCATCTCCCCATAAGTTTCAACTGGGCCCCATACTCTAAAGCTGAGATTCAGCATACCGCAAAATCCTGGTTCCGCCACTAGAAAAGAGATTCATTTATTTATTTATTCTATTTAACTTACTTAACATAATTGTTGTTTTTCTTTGTTCACTATGATTTCCTCGACTATGTCGACGTAATTGAAAACCTGTATCATTTGGTTGTTGATTTAGTTTTGAACGACGAACATAATGAATAAGTATTGTATTAAATATTACAAGAAGAACTAATGGTATCCAAATAATAGCAAATCTATTAATTTATAAAAATAAATACATAAAATAATATAAAATATTATTTTAAATAATTATACTATAAAATTATCTCGCTTTTTTTTTCTTTTGAAATTCTACTAACATACATATCAAAATAAAGATAAGTTTTTTTACTACCAATGTGGGTTTAAGTAGGTCAGAGCAAACCGAACCGAATCATGTTCATCTAATATTAATGATAGGAGAATTTCATTTCTTTTTTTAATAATGAAAAGCAACACAGTAATTAACAAATATCATTCCTAAAAATAGCTCGTTGTCTTTTTTTTTTTTATCAACATTATGTTAGTATTATCTTTCAGGTATCATCTATATCATAAATTTAAATTTAAATACATACGTAACAAAATTAAAATATATTTGATGATAAAGTGAACTACTTCCTAATACAGTTGGTTTAGCTTTAATATAATTTGTATAAATAATATTATTTGATATATTTTTTATTTCAATTATTCGTTCAAGTTTCATTTCAAATGCTGATGGTAATGTACATATAAGTGATGCACATATAACACTTAATATTATTTTACGTGCTCGATATACTGTACACCATGTACGACTTTTTAATGGATATGTTATAGCAACCCAACGTTCAACAGTAAATGTAACAGTTAACCAAACACTTGTATTTGATGAAAAATCTGCTATTGGTCGACATATTGTTAATACTATTTCAGATAATGATGTATCTGTAAAACAAGGATTTTGTAATGTATTTATAATAAGTGTTAATAATAAATAAGCTATATCAACTAAAGCTAATGCTACTAAATAATTATTTGTTGATGACATTATCATACGACGTTTTGTTAATACAATAATAGCTAGAATATTACCAGTTACACCTATTAAATTAAAAATAAAAAATGAATTCTTAAAAAAGAACTTTTAGTGTAATGACTGATTGATCGAATTAAAATTTGAAATATTAGAGATTCATATCAATTCGTAAATTGAAGTCTTATTCACATCAGATGATTTATAAGATAATTCAATAAAAACCATCGAATATTTAACTATAATTTTTAGTTTTGATTGAAAGAATATTTCTTTTTTTCATATTTTCAATTCCGGTCACAATGACTTCTCTTTTTTGTGATGTGGCACATCTCTACTCGTTTTTCATGATATTTCAAAAAATTTTTTAAAAAAAAGAAGAAGATAATGATTTCTGACGAACAAATTCCTGTATATCATACTCGGAAAGTGATAATTATGACTTACGTATAGTTTAACAGTATTTAGTTGTGATATAATAGAAATACAGAAATATTAGTTCTGCTATTTATAGTACTAATTATTATATTGACATGATATTGGATCTCAATTTATGATCTGTTCTATATTTTACAAAAAAAAAGAGAACTTCGAAAATTAGTGTATTCATAAGATTTTTCCTTCTTTCTCTATTCGGATCAGACTAACAATAAAAACAAATATAACAATACATGTTAGAATCAATAGAATATTTTCATACAGAACTTTAATACATCAATTTGATTAAACATTTCGTCTACATACTTTCGAACTCAACAAGAGAAGATAAATTTCACATATGAAACAGTTTAATAATTATTAGATTTCTCTGAATGTTTCTCTTTAACAAATATACTTCCTTTTACCAGATAATTCATGAAAAACAAAAAATAAAACTTTATGTCATATGCAACAGTCAGCACAATAACTTTTGTTTTTTTTCATCATGTAATATCTCGAAAAGGTATCCTATTTTTCAAATCAAACTTGAGGTCGAAAATTTAATTAAATAATCATAACTCAAGGAGAAACATGCATTGTCATAAATCTTCTCTAGGCTTTTATTAGTCTCTCTTAGTGTTACATAAGGATAAATAATAAGTTCGATGTGTATATAATAAATGAAGGCATCTTTTTTTTTTTTTTTCTTCATACACTTGATTAATTTTTTAAAATATCATTTACCAAAAAATGTTATAATAGGCCAAAGCCAATTTTTTACTAATGATCGAACAAAAAATAGATCTGGATCAGTATTTTGTCGAGCTAATATTGATGCATTACAATGGACAAATCCGAACATAGTTTAATATTGATTGTTTTGTCATATGGAATTAATCAAAATAATATTAAAATATAAAACACATACAGTATTTATTTTGTATTTTATTTTCTATTATTATAATAAAATGGCAAATTTGTAGCGTTATTCTGTTATCTAGAAAACAACAATAACAAAATAAAGTTGTCTAGCTAAGATAGGAACAACAAATAAGTGTTAGGAAAGAAACAGATGTATATCATTATAGAGACGCACTTCTGTATAATATATACACTTAATCTTTCATTAATCAAATATAAGTTACAGTAGTCGAGAAAAATAGAGGATAAGATAAAAGAAAATTCATTCGTGGTTCCTTTTTTTTTTTTTTTTTTTTTTTTATTTTTCATCGACTTCAATGTAACTGATGACAAGCATGACAAAAAAAGAATGGATTAATATTTTAATAATATGTCATCATGTTTTTTTGTTTATATCGGAAATTATTTGTCGATGATACTATAATCATGAACAAAATTTTACTGATAATTATAGAGTAGAAACTATTTAATATTTAATATAATTCAATATAATGAGAAAAACTATTTATGGTTACGTTTAAAATATGTAATCAAGAATGTAATTCATCATATTAAACTTCCTGTGATATTGAAATCAATATTCTTTTATTCTATTTAAAAATACATTTTTTTTGTTTTTTATCTGTTAATCTACGCATTACCTTTTTTTCTTTTTCTTTTATATTGTCTATTTAGAAAATCTAATTGTTAAATGGATTTTTATGATATTTTCTATCACGTTTCTAAATAATATATTGAGATACTGTAAAACATATGTCTAAATAAATGATAATAATCGATTTTGATCTATTCTTATTGTTTTGTGTATGATCGAAAGAATCTTTTGAGAAAAAAAAAAGAAAATATTAGCAATCCATATTTATTATATATTTTATTTAATTACTTTCATCAAACTATGTTTAAAAACGAAAGAAGTTTTGTTTGTATGAAGTCAAGAATATTTATCATTGAATAAATATAAAATGATGGACACTAGATTATCAACATTGATTTATTTACTTGTTGAAAAATAGCAAAATTAGAAAGGAATAATTTGATAGATTCGAGAGAAAAAACTATTAAATCTCTCAATTGTTTTTAGAGTTTTCTGGAAATATTCTACATATTTATAGAATAATTCTTAGTCGAAAATAATAAATAGTAATCTTTTTGTACTTATGATAAATAATTATTATTGTTTACAAATTTTTCTTATTGATTGATTTCGACAATAGTAATATTTATATTTTTGTTTTCTTTCTTAAGACTGTTTATTTATTTGTTACTTTTTTTTTTCGAAGAGGACTCATCAATATGATAAAGCATTGCTATGATATCACTCATCCTTCATACTTTCTTAGTCTACAGAGACGGGCTTGGGGAAGGGTACCCCTCTGCTCTAAGAATTCTGGCTCAGATTTTCTCCTAATTTATTATTAAAGAGTTTTCTTCGATTTTGGAAAAATATAATCGGACAAATTTTAGGCTACTTTCTCCGATTTTTGGATATCCCCTCTCCTGTCCTGACCTCTTCGCGCCGCCTCAGATTAGTGTAACTGATAATTAAAAAAACACATTCCTATATTTGTATTCAAGAATAAAAAAAAGAATTGAATATGAAAGTTTGTTTTAAAATAAAGATCGACACGACATACCTTTTATTGAGATAGAATAATATAGGAACAATCACAAAAAAAGGTGTGGCCTTGTTTTTGAAATTATAAATTTTACTTGAATGATATATAGAAAGCCAATAGATATTTAATATGCATAGCTCCTTTTTCCTAATAAGATTACTTCTTCATTCTTGTAATCACGTCAATGTTATATGACAAATAACCATAGAAGATATATGTTATTATGTTAAAGTTGAATGTATATATGATCAATCAGAATTTCTTACGCATCTTTTGCTTAATTATGCGTACAATAGATATCTTTTTCTTTTCCATAGTTATTTTTTCTTGTGTAAATATATCATATAATAGCTTTATACAAATATTCAATAAGAAAACAATTGAATGATGATACAAATAACACAATAACATTAGTAAAAAAGAATAACTAAGGACAACTTTCTTATTAAGAAAGACATGTTTTATTTTCGTGCTCTATTGCATTCTTATTGTATTTTAAGAGAAACCATCTATTTTTTTTTTCTTTTTTTTTGCTTAGGGCATCACATTGTATGCTTCTCATCAAACAACTGTTAACAATATTTCTATGTTTGGATATATATATATATACATTTTTCATATTTCTATGTCGTTTTAGACATGCTTTAATCATATGAGTGGAAGTGTAATCTAGATGATAAGATATATAACATTATCTTAATCTATAGGCTTATAGTGAATTAGTTTTTAAGATGAAAAAACTCATTAATATATTTTGTAATGTAAAAAAATAAGATTAAAATATATATAAAACTAAAAAAGAAAACTATGTACAAAAAATATGAACATAGAATCTTCTTTCTTTTAATAGTCATTTATTTTTCAATTAAATAAATATTATTTATTGAATTATATATATATATATATCAGTTTTAATGTAATCAAAAAACATTGATAGCTAAATTTATATAAGATTAAAATTATTAATAGAAGAATGTTATTAGATATTTATATAATATATTTATATTTATATTAAATTTATTTTCATAGATTTTATTTTTAATAAAATTTCTAACATTATATTTTATTACAAGTACTGAGTAATATTTTTTTTTTTTTTATAAATAGTTATAAATTTTTTCTTTCTTTTGTTGCATTAAATCATACTAATATAGATTATGTTACATATGTTACAAATTGTGACATATTGTATAAAACATCAAATAGCAACAGGAGGTACTCATTGTGACATATTTCTTCGAGCGAATATGTGACTTGTTTTGAATGTATGATTTGAATTTTAGTCAAGCTATATCTCTATCATTTCCTCTGTTGAAGCGAATAATTACTAATTTTAAAATCTGAAATCATGAGATTTAAAAACTAATCGTCTCAAACTCATTCAAACTTACAAAATATGGTTGAATAAAGACTAACTAAAATTTAATCGAGAGAAAAAAACAAAAAAAAAATGGTATCTGAGAATGTATACGTTCAGTAAAGTCAATCAAGTTAGTTACATATAGCTAAAAAATATGAAATAAAATGATAAATGAATGTTTAGAATATACAGGGTGGCCCAAAAGTAAGGAAACAAAAAGGATATGCTATAGTTATGGATAATAAATTGTTAATGATATTTTTCATATCTTTTATTGATGTAGAGAGCTAAAATTTTTATCATATATATATCTAGTTAAGATCTTTTGTGTCTGAAAGCTTCAGCTTTCCACATCAATAAAAAGTATGAAAAAGATCATTATTAATCTATTATCCATTATCATAGCATACCCTTTTTGTTTACTTACTTTTGGGCCACCCGGTAGACTATGGTATGTCTATCATGTGATACTTTTTTTTCGTCAAGATTCTGACATTCAACGATACTCTAAAATTGTAGACTTTGTTAATTGATATTATCTATATGAAAGTAACCTTATTTACTGCTTCACAATATGATACGATATCTTAAAGTGTTAACTTTAGATTGCTCAAATATTTTGTTGTCGAAAACTTATTGAGTTTATATGAATTCTTTTTGTACAAAATCAGAATTCAAAACTTCTATTGGTTTTAATGTAGAAGAGAGTTGCAAGTCCCGATTTACAAAAAAAATAATTTCGCAACTCTCTGCATTTATTGCATAGAACATATTCTTGCTTGATTTCATTTACATAAGTATTAAAAAAAACCTATTCCATATGATTGACAATTTTCAATGATGAACTTAGTTTAATTAATTAACTGTTTTCCATTTCATTTTTTTTTTTTTTTGTAAACATAATGCTCTATTCAACGAAGCGAAAGCTTCTAATTTATAAAGTATTGAATAATTGGAAAGGGAACAGCAAAAAAAACAAAGGATGCCAAATATTGGTGGAAAAAAATCTCTAGTCTGGATCCGGATCACAAAAACGCACAGCCACACCTGCCAATTGGACGCTATCCATAGGATTCTATGTAATAAAATTTTGTTGACAATTAATCACATAAGATGATATTATCAAACTCAAATGGTGTTCTTATAATCAATTCACTAGTTATATTGTTAGAAATCCTACACAAGTTTTTCAGCAGTATGCATGTAGGTATAATAAGTTTTTGATAATAGAATATGTGAATAGTGTAAAATTGATATTATAAATTTTATATTGGAAAGAGAATCAGAACTTTTTTTGTGATAGTTTCTACTCATTGAAACATTATTCAAAGATGTAAATTAGTTAATTATGATTAATAAAGCTTTCATAAGTTTTTCATCATTTTAATGCAATTCAAACCATATACTTAATCATAGGTTTTTTTCTTTCATTGCAAATTATTTATTATTTCTGTCGAACGAGTGTTAAACTTGAATTATTTAAAAAACGAGAAAAAAATTCAATAGAATTATTAACGCATTGTAATTGAAATATAAATGTTACGAGTTAATTGAAGTGATCTGTCAGATTTTATTATGTGAAAATAATTTAATAGAAAAATTCAATAAAAGTTTTTTCTTTTTTTTTTGGTGTCTGATTTACATTTTACTACTTTTATGTCAAACAAAACATTATGTATACAAATAAATTCATGACCTTAAAAGAGAACATTATCAAATATTAGCCAAGTAAAACAATTAATCATGGAATTGTCATCAGAAGTTAACTCGTCTAGCAATTCTTATAAAAGAAAGTTAAAATCGCTTCTCTATAATTATGTTGTTCATAATGACATTAGACTAGAAGCTTGTTTGAACAGCAGTAACGACTCTAGGCTTTTAATAAATAGAAACACTTCAATGGAAACGAGAGATGAAGTTCATAGCCACACATCATATCTTGATATTCAATTAGATTTCGTATCG